TGATGATGATGATGATGCTGATGCTGATTCTGATGATGATGATGATGATTCTGATGACTATGATGATGGCGATACTGATGCTTATTCTGATGATCATGATGATGGTGATGATCATGATGACGATGCTGACGCTGATGCTGATTCTGATGATGATGGTTGTGATGCTGGGGATGACGATGCTGATGTTGATGATGATCATGATGATGATGATGCTGATTACGATGATGATGCGGCTGCTGCTGCTGATGATGCTGCTGACGATGATTATGATGATGATGAGGATGCTGCTGATGATGCTGCTGATGTTGATGCTGATGATGACGATGATGATGATGCTAATGATGATGACGATGATGATGATGATGGAAAAAAAAAGGATGAGGAGGAGGCAAGCAGATGATGATGATGCTGATGATGATGCTGATGATGATGATGATGATGATGATGATGGTGATGCTGATGATGGTGATGATACTGATGCTGATTATGATGAGTGTGATGATTGTGATGATGATGCTGATGCTGCTGATGATGCTGATGATGATGATGATGGTGGTGGTGGTGGTGGTTGTGGTAGTGATGACGACGGCGACAACGTCGACTGTGAATATGGTGATGGGATCGGCGACGATGCCGGTTGTGGTGGTGGTAAAGACGATGACGATGACGATGACGATGATCCCCGCTCAGCGAAACACCTGTGATGCACTGCGCCCGCTCACTCCGCCGCGGCAGAGTTGCCGTTCGGGCTCTGCCTGCCCTGGCGACGAGGAAGTTTCCAGACGCCCAAAATTGAGCAGCCTCCCCACGAGTACTCTTTTTTCAGAGGCAAGCATGTCGATGACGGTGATGGGTGGATGACGATGCTGATGCGGATGCTGATGCTGAGGATGATGATGATGATGAAGATGATGATGATGATGATGATGATGATGATGATGATGATGATGATGATGATGATGATGATGATGCTGCTGCTGCTGATGATGATGATGATGATGATGATGATGACGATGACAACCGTGATGCTGCTGATGATGATGATGCTGATGATGATGATGCTGCTGGCGATCATGTGAAGACGGGCGATGAACAATATGATGACACGTGTTGCAAGCGAAGGATGAGGAGGGAATGATGACGACGATGATGATGATGTTGATGATGAACAAGATGCCGATGATGCAAATGATGATGATGACGATGACGATGACGACGGCGGCGATTCTGATGATGCTGATGATGAGGACGACGAGGTGTATGATGATGGCGATGATGATGCTGCTGATGATGTTGCTGACGCTGATGCTGATGATGATGTTGCTGATGATGCTGTTGATCATTGCAAGGATGACGAGGCTGTCGATGTTGACTACGACGACACCAGCAATGACGATGACGAATATGATGATACTGGAAATGGTGACCTTGCTGGTGAGAATGTGGAAGTATACGTGGATATTGATGTGGATGATGCTGCTGCTGCTGATGCTGCTGATGATGATGATGGCGACAACGCCGAAAATGATACTACTGATGACGACGATGGTGAAGAGAAGGGAGATGATGATGTTGCTGCTGCTGATGATGATGTTCGTTCTGATTTTTCCTCCTCCTTCCACTACTACTACTGCGACTGCTACTGCTACTGCTACTACTACTACTACTACTACTACTACTACTGCTACTACTACTACGACTACTACTACTACTACTACTACTGCTACTACTGCTACTGCTACTGCTACTACTACGACGACGACGACTACTACTACTACTACTATTACTATTTCTACTACTACTACTACTACTACTGCTACTGCTACTGCTACTACTACTACTGCTACTGCTACTACGACTACTACTACTACTACTACTACTGCTACTGCTACTACTGCTACTGCTACTGCTACTTCTACTACTACGACGACGACGACGACGACTACTACTACTATTACTATTTCTACTACTACTACTTCTTCTTCTACTACTACTACTACTACTACTACGACTACGACTACGACTACTACTACTACTAGTACTACTACTACTACTAGTACTACTACTGCTACTACTACTACTACTACTACTACTACCACTGTTATGATTATTCTTAAACTTATTATTATGGTGAGGCTGCTGCTGATGATGATGCTGATGATGATTACGAGGATGATGGCGGCGGTGGTGATGACGATGATGAGAGGAGGATGAGGAGGATGAGCCACGCGTAGGAGGAGGAGGAGGAGGAGGAAGAGGAGGAGGAGGAGGAGGAGGAGAAGGAGGAGGATGAGAGGATGCGGGGAGACTCGGCGGGAGGGGGAGGGGGCGTATCTGCACTCCAGGGCCCTGCACGGGTTTGGCCACGATCGTTACGAGGACATTTGGCCTCCTCCCAATCGCTCTTCTTCGGACTGTGCTGCTTCTCTTCTCTTCGTCGTCCTCCTTTTTCACATTTCCATGTCTCTTTCTCTTCCTCGGTCTCTCTCTCTCTCTCTTT